ATAGACAGCTTTTATTACTTTAAGATATGTCCCTTCTATTCCAATTTTGCCAAGGATATTAATCATTAATCATAAAGAGATGCTGAATTTTGTGAAAGGCTTTTTCTCCTTCTATTGAGATGACCCTGTGATATGTGGTTTTAATTCTGTTTATGTGGCATGTTACTTTTATTGACTTACATCTGTTAAACCATCCCTGTACCCCTGGTATGAAATGCACTTGATCATGGTGGATTACCTTTTTGATATGCTGCTGGATTCAGTTTGCTAGTATTTTGTAGGGAATTTTTGCATCTATGTTCATCAGGGATACTGGTCTGTAGTTTTCTGTTTTTGTTATGTCTTTGACTGGTTTTGGTATTAGGGTGATACTGGCTTCACAGAATAATTTAGGGAGAATTCTCTCCCTATCTTTCAGAATAGTGTCAGCAGGATTGGGACCAATTCTTCTTTGAATGTCTGATAGAATTCCGCTGTGAATCCATCTGGTCCGGAAGTTTTTTTGTTGACAATTTTTTTATTATCATTTCAAGCTCGCTGCTTATTATTGTTCTGTTCAGAGATTCTGTATCTTCCTGGTTTAATCTAGGAGGATCACATATTTCCAGGAAGTTATGCATCTCCACGAGTTTATGTGCATAAAAGTGTTCATAGTAGCTTTGAATAATATCTTGTATTTCAGTGTTATCAGTTGTAATATCTCCCGTTTTGTTTCTAATTGAGATTATTTGGATCTTTTCTCTTCTTTTCTTGATTAGTCTCACTAATGGTCTATATTTTTTTTTCAAAGAACAAGCTTTTAGTTTTATTTATCTTTTGTATTTTTGTTGTTGTTGTTGTTTCAATTTCATTTAGTTCTGCTCTGAATTTCATTATTTCCCTTCTTCTGCTGGGTTTGTGTTTGGTTTGTTCTTGTTTCTCCAGTTCCCTGAGGTGTGACCTGAGATTGTCTATTTGTGCCCTTTCAGAATTTTTGATGTAGGCATTTAATTCTATGAAATTTCCTCTTAGCACTGCTTTTATTTTATCCCAGAGGTTTTGATAGGTTATTTTACTATTATTCAGTTCAAAAAATTTTTTAAGTTCCATCTTGATGTCATTGTTCACCCAATGATCGTTCAAAAGCAGGTTATTTAATTTCCATGTATTTGCATGGTTTTGAAGGTTCCTTTTGGAATTGATTTTCAATTTTATTCCACTATGGTCTGAGAAAATACTTGATATAATTTTGATGTTCTTATATTTAATGAAACTTGTTTTGTGGCCTATCATATGATCTATCTTGGAGAATGTTCCATGTGCTGAGGAATACAATCTATATGCTGTAGTTTTTAGGTAGAATGTTCTGTAAATATCTGTTAAGTTCATTTGTTCTAGGATATGGTTTAAGTACATTGTTTCTTTGCTGACTTTCTCTCTTGATGATCTGTCTAATGCTGTCAGTGGAGTACTGAAGTCCCTCACCTTTACTGTGTTGCCATCTATCTCATTTCTTAGGTCCAGTAGTAACTGCTTTCTAAATTTGGGAGCTCCAGTGTTTGGTGCATATATATACTGAATTGTAATATTTCCTGTTGGACTACTTCTTTTATCCTTATATAATATCTCTCTTTGTTTTTTTTTTTAACTGCCGTTGCTTTAATGTTTGTTTTGTCTGATAGAATAATAGCTACTCCTGCTCACTTTTGTTGTCCATTTGCATGGAATAACGTTTTCTACCCCTTACCTTAAGTTTATGTGATTCCTTATGTGTTAGGCAAGTCTCCTGAAAACAGAACAAACTTGGGTAGTGAATCCTTATCCATTCTGCATGTCTGTCTCTTTTCAGTGGAGCATTTAGGCTAGTTACATTCAATGTTAGTATTGAGATGTGAGGTACTATTCTATTCATCATGCTGTTTGTTGCCTGCATATGTTTTTCTCTTTTTCATTTTGTTATTGCTATATAGGTTCTGTGACATTTATGCTTTAAGAAGGTTCTCTTTTGGTATATTTTGAAATTTTGTTTCAGGATTTAGAGATCCTTTTGGCAGTTCCTGTAGTTCTTTCTCAGCTAAACTATATAAACATACATTTGCTGCTTTTCAAAAACCACATCTAAAATGAAATAGGTTTTCAAAAGACATCTTACTAAGTGACACTAAACAATCCAAAGTAACTCTAAGTAATATTTTATCTATTAGAATGGCACTTAAAACATACATGCTAAGACTATGTATCTTGTGAACAATTTATATAACTCAGTTGATTCATCAAGTACCCTGGTTTGTGCTTTAGCTAAGCAACCTACACCTTAAAGTAGACTCAGCAGATTCGTTGGAAATATTATGTCATTTTTGTTTAAAATAAATTAATGAATTACACAGTATTATTACTTTGTAAAGGAGAGATTAAAGTTTAAAAATGTTAATTTTTATCCCCAAGTAAACACAGTTAAGTAAGTCTTTAAATAGTTAAATCATTGTTTTCTCTTCATCATGGTTGACTACCCTATACAACTGAGACTGCTACATTAACTGTAGTGTTTTCTAATTGTTGCTTTATTTTTTACTATGAAAATATTCAAAAATATACAAAACAGATAGAGTAGTATAATTAATTCATGTACTTTTCACCCCATGCAACTATTGCCCAGCTTTGATAATTTTTAAGAATTAGTCTACTTTGTTTCTTCTATTCCCTTACTCATACTTGTTGGTAAAGCAAATCCCAGATACAATATTGGAACCACCACACATATCTCTATAAAAAGTTTTCCTGAAAAAACAAAACAAAATACCATTACAACACCCAATAAAATTTGCTATAATTCTGCAATAACAGTCAATCCTCTAATTTCTCTGATTAACCCAGAAATAACTTTATAGGAAGAGTTTATAAAGTTCAAATAAGTATACCAACAAGAATGTCAATTGCATTTGCCTCTTTTAACCCACAACTCCCACTCCTCCTAGTATATCATGCTATTTATCTTTTGAAGAAACCGGACCATTTATCTTGAAGAATATCCAAATCCTATATTTGGTTGCCCACAATCTTTTCATGACATTTAACATTTTCTCTCCACCCAATCCAATAATTCCTGTAAAATCAAAGTTTGAAGTATTTGAATGGATTATTTCTTCTGGGAGGGGGAAAGGAAGGAGGGGCAAGGACAAGAAAATTTCACAGGTTGTCCTATTGTACTTCAGTCAGCATTGCATCAAGAGGGGCAAAGTATATAGTTATTACTTTTTGTGATATTAGGGGATTGATCGGTGGGTTTGGTTTTGGTATTCACCATCTAATGCAACCTAGAAAAGTTCTCTATCAACAATACATCCTTACAATCAGCTGTGGGTGGTGGCTCAAACTTGTAATCTCTGCACTTTGGGAGACTGAGGCAAATGGATCTCTTGAGCATAAGAGTTCAAGACCAGTCTGGGCAACATGGTGAAACCCTGTCTCTACTAAAAATACAAAAATTAGTCAGACATGGTAGCATGCTGGGACCTGTAATTCCAGCTACTTGGGAGGCCGAGATGGGAGAATCACTTGAGCCCAGGAGGCAGAGGTTCTGGTGAGCTAAGATCGTGCCACTGCACTCCAGAATGGGCAACAGAGCCAGACCTTATCTCAAAACCAAACCAAACAATATGTCCTTACAATAATGCCACAGCAGATTAGGATATGTTCCTCATTCTTTTTAATGACTGTTTGGTATACCATTGTATATTCAATAAGTGTCCTATTGATGGGCATTTCAGGTGCTTCCAATATTTTTTCATCATAAATATTTTGCAGTAAATAGTTATATGTATGTATTATTTTGTCTTTTGCTAGTATCATAGAATTAGATATCTAGAAGTTAAGTTGTTGTGTCTAAGTTGTAAAAGCCATCTGCATAAAAGTCTGAAAGTCTACATTTTTAGAAGGATATCTGTCAAAAAAAATCCCAATAAATTTTTATTCTCAATTGATATTCATCTAAAAAAATTTAAATGCAGTTTCTTTTTTGATATTAGCCTAAAATAGAGTATAAGAAAATACCAACATTGTTATTGCCTTCTTTTGACAATTGCTATTATCTATTATCCAAATATACTACATAAATGAAAATTCATCATAAAGTTTTACAACTAAAAATAACTACAGAGGTTATGTCTAATTTCCAAAAGTTAAAAATGAAGACATTACCATATAAGAGATTAATTTTCTTAAATGTATGCAGTAGGTCTTAAGGTTCTAAAGCTTTAGTTTAATGCTATGTCCACTTGAAAATGACTTGCTTAAAGGCATTATTAACAACAAAAAAGTAAGTGTAGAAGTTTACCTTTGCTGTTAAATATCTAAATTTGAATGAACAACCAATAATTTCTATAGCCTACTTTAACGAGAGTAATTCTGGAATTTGGAGATATGACATTTTATGCTTTAATATAAATTTAAACTATTATAAATATATCAGCCTCCCTCAAGTCATTCATCACAAACTTACTTACCTCCACTATAATTCTATGTGTGTGTATATGTTTATGAGTATGTGTTTTTTACTGCCACTGGTAATTATTACTTTTGAGGTCAATCTTATTGTAATTAACCTATGTAGGAAGTGGCTAAGATTTGGAACGGAAAATCTTAGATCCACAAAACTTCCATTTGGTCATATAAATAAATAAAAAGTGAGATTATAATTATTGTTTTCTTCCACAAAACAGAAGAAAACATTAACCTGTTTGTTAAGTATTTAACTAGAATATTTTCTATTTTGGAAAGTTTTTTTAGTTTTTTTTAAATTCATAGTTATCTTTCAAGTGGATTTATATTTCCATAAAAGACTTTAAAATCATGTAAGCCAACAAAATCATCTTTCCATGGTACCTACCGTGTTCTTTGCATATAGATTATAAAAACTGAGGCCTGAAAAGACTGAAGGGAGCCTTAACAGTGTTTAGACTGTCAGTGAAAGCTAAAAACCAGGATAGGAGTTGTATGATATTATGTATCTCTTTAACACTTACCAGAAGGGTGAAGATTCTGTTCCTCTAAAAATTCAAGATCAAGCATTAGATCATCTTCATCTAGTTCGCAAGATCCCAAATTATTCAAAACATCCTGAAGAAAAACAAAATCAACAATTAGAAACCAAAACACCGAGTAACTGAGGAAACACTCACATGCGGATGCCATGAAGTAACAATAACTTCAAAATCAGAATGATAAGTTCTAACTAAATCCCAGAAATTATTTGACACCTATGGACTTTAAAATTACCAGTCCAATAAAAAATTCCAAGACTTATTCTAAATATTATTAACTTGTCCAATTATCTGCACATTCATTTTTTCCTTTTTGTTGATAGTATGTAAGTTATAATTAAATGGAGGTACATATGGACAGATATGAAATATATTAGAAATCAGGAAATGATTTGTTAATATGAGAAGTACAGTCAAGTGTTTATATGAATAAAAGCATCTTCAGTGATATTAAAAAAGGAATTTTCTCATTGCAAATACGCAAAAAACATAAAAATGTTTTTCAAGTACATAGAAGCCTGTGAAATGAAACTTCAGTTACTTTTTCTAATATTTATATTTCAAGCATAGGTAACATTCTTCTAACACATTTAATGAACTGTTTTTCAAACAACTTTTGTTTATGGTGACAACTGTGAAATATTAATTTAGACCATGCTTGGAAGTGAAAAATTGGCTACCATTTTCCAATTATTTGTTTTACATTAGGAGGAATGGGCAGGAAAACAATCTATATTAATTCAATTAAAATTAATTATTGGCTTGCATTATACCATAATATATCAGAGCTGAGATTATGTCTCCTATTTTATTTTCAAGAGGATAAACAGCAAAATAAACTAGAAGGCTACACTGAGAAGTCTTGAGAAGACATGGTAATGTGCTGAGGTGCAGAGGCAGGAACTGCTGAGAAAGGAATAAAGTCCTTATTTGTATATTTGTCTATATAAATAGGTGATAAATGTATTAAGAAAAGTAAGAACTTACATTTAGAGACTAACAATGAAATGACAAATGTACAAAAAAATAGAACATCAAAGACATAAAAAAAAAAAAAACAGACTAAACACTAAATGATGCCACACCATCTCAGTTCACTTTTCAGCTAATTTGAATGCTACCATAATTTGTAACTAAGTATTCATTAAGGAAAGCTAATGACATTTTCAAATGGACAATGAACACTTTAGTTCTTGGGATTAAAAGTAAGGACACTGGGACTTTTAAATAAACCACTTTTACTTAAATAATTCAAATTAAACATTATTAAACTTTAAAATATGTCATATGTGTGATCCATGAATACTGCACATACAGTGGTTTGAAAGATAGTAAGTATATCCAAATCTAAGTGCTTCTTTCTCCAAATAAAGGTCATGAATAATTTAAACTATAAAGAATAGCACTTGCTTATTGGAAGCTCTGTTCCATACAGTGTTGGCGATAGTTCAATGATTAAGTTACTTACCTATATACATTAAAAATATGAGAAAATATAGGCAACAAAAGATATGCTGTCATACTAAAACTGCAAAACAGAAGATTAAAATAACGACAACAAAACTTAATTGAAGTTGTGGAAAAGTGAGAGTTTTTATAAAGGAGATTTTTGTGAAAACACTGATAAGAGTGTTTATCAAACTATCCAAATGAGAGAGTCTTAATCAGGTAGTCAATAATATATTAGTCAAAAATACATGTTATAGTGAAAGCATACTAATTTAACCAATTTCAAATTGGGGTAAGTAATTTTCCACTTGGATTTTGAATTCATTGGATTTAACTGTATCCTTCCAAAATATATGAAATATCCTAACCACCAACACCTTGGAATATGGCTGCATTTGGAGACAGAGCCCTTAAAGACAGTATAAAGGTTGAACAAGGTCATATGGGTGGGCACTGCAATGGGACTGGCATTCTTATAAGAAGGAGAGATTAGGACACAGACAGCACACAGAGAGAGTGATGAAGACACAGAGATGTGAAGAACCGTGTGAATTCACAGAGGGTAGGAAGATAGGCCATTTGCAAGCCAAGGAGAGAGACCTCAGGATAAACCAAACTTGCCATCACCTTGATTTTGGACTTCCAGCTTCCAGAACTGTGAGAAAATAAATTTCTGTTGTTTAAGCCACCCAGTCTGTAGTGTTTTGTCATGGCAGCCCTGGCAAACTAATACAACCAACAAGACTTAGAAAGCAATGAAGAACAGAACAAAGGAAATAAATGAATGCCTGGCATAGGACTGTCATTTTTTTATTACACCAAATGAGGATATCTTAGGCACTGTAAACTTCTAGAACAAGGTTTTCACAGCATTTCTCCTTTTTAATTGGAACCACCATACCCAATCATCCTAGCTATAAAGGGAGCTACCAGATTTGTACATGAGCCAAACTCCTCCTTGGTGAATGATCCAAGATGGACATCTTAACCAAATTTGGCGACCAAAGCCCCATCTCAGAAATGAAAAAAAGTCTCTGTTTGGTGATAGATACTGAAAGCTGCAAAACACTGTCATCATAGGGGCTATGGATTTCATTGTGTAGCCAAGACCAGAATAAGCCTACTTTAAAAAAATTTTTAAATGTCATCTTGTTCCTGTTTCCAGTAATTCCTGAGATCCAGAGGCATACATGATGTTTTCAAGGTAGGTTGTTCAACCCGGTGTTGAATTTTGACAATTAATGCATTCACCCATAGTTTGAAATAAAATTTTAAAAGACTTTATTTTTTAACAAGGAAATATTAAAATCTCTGCCACTGCTATTCTAACATTTCATATTAGACAGCAACACCAATAGAATGAACTAAATTTGGAAAATTTACTACATTGTTCCAATTTTATTCTCCTTTTGGAGGTGACACTTGACACTCGGACTAGCAGGGTTCCATTTGCCACGGGTCTAGATTAATTCCTTCCTAAATCTACTTATTCTAAATTGCCTTGCTTTGATATTGTGCTTACAAAGCAACTTTCTTGTCAGTGTAGAGTAGAATCTTTGAAGCTGGTGAAACCTCGTAATGAAAGGAGAGTAGATGCAGCAACACGATATGTTACAGAAAATAATCAATGTTAAATTCATAAATCTAAAACAGTCTTTTCCAGGTCTCTCCCTGAAAGGCACCAACAGCAGCAACAGTCCTTTTGCTGACAGCCAGTACTGATATTGGTCAATCCTAGAGGCTGGATACTTGCTGCCATATATCTATTAATAAATAATGTTAATAAAAATCAAGGTCTTTTACTTATTAGAGAAAGGGAAAAAAAGAAAGAAAAGAAGAAAGACAAAACAGAAAGTTTCTGGAACAATCCTTTTGTTGCCAAGAAAACAAAGTTCACCTAAAAAAAATAGTGGCTGTCTGGAAAGGCTAGATAAGGAAAACAACTTTGATGCCTTCTTGCTAGGTAATCTGACAATATGAGCATAAAAAGAAAAGTAATCAGTAAGGCTAAATAGAATAATTTGAGACTATTGAAGGTTAGCTTTTTTCTAGAAAAGAAAAAATGAAGGATATTAAAAAATACAAATTGGGTAGAAGATCTTTAATTTATATTGGTTTCAAGGTTAATATATCTGTATTTTATTTTCCTTTTTTTTCTATTTTTTTTATTATACTTAACACGCGCAGAACGTGCAGGTTTGTTATATAGCTATACATGTGCCATGGTGGTTTGCTGCATCCATCATCCTGTCATCTACATTATGTATTTCTCCTAATGCTATGCCTCCCCTATACACCCACCAGCTGCTATCCTTCCCCTAGCCGCCCCCCCCCCCCCCCACAGGCCCTGGTGTATGATGTTCCCCTTCTGTGTTTTCATGTCCATGTGTCCATGTGTTCTTATTGTCCAACACCCACTTATGAGTGAGAACATGCGGCATTTGGTTTTCTATTCTTGTGTCAGTTTTTCTTATTATATGTATGTTTATAAAATGTAGTCAGGTCTTTCTTTCTGACTGTATAATCAGGGATCTGTAAGTAAACCAGTAGTACCAAAAGTAGTTCAGTACTAGGAATAGTAAAAACTGTCTAGCACCAACGGTCACATGTAGGAATCAGATTTAATAAAAAAAAAAAGAAATGCAGCAATTAATTAACACTAATGATGACGCCCAAATATAAGAGGGTGCAATTATGCATTTCAGACATTTGATAAATGAGCAGAATGTGTAAGCAGAGTGTTATCTAAGCAAAAATAATTTTCTCATTTCCTCGTAGACAAAAATACTAGATAGCCCTACATAATAAATAAATAATCAGGAGAATCCATCATGGATTTTTTTTTTTTTTTTTATTTAATTTTTTTCTTAAGTGGGACTCTTGCTCTGTTGCCCAGGCTAGAGGGCAGTGGTGCAATCTCGGCTCACTGCAAAATCTGTCTCCTCCCACCCCAGGTTTAAGCAATTCTCCTGCCTCAGCCTCCAAAGTAGCTGGGATTACAGGCACACACCACCATGCCTGGTTTATTTTTTTTGTAGAGATAGGGTTTCAATATGTTGGCCAGGCTGGTCTCAAACTTCTGACCTCATGATCCACCTGCCTGGGCCTCCCAAAGTGCTGGGATTACAGGTGTGAAATTTTTAATAATATTAACATAGCAGGCCTACAAATTATAATAACAAGAAAAGTGTTAAATAAGACAAGCAAATGGGATTTAAAAAGAAAATCATTTTGTGAGAGGACATCTATATTACACAAAATTAAAAGATGGACTTGAACTTAAAATAAAAAGCATAAAAGCACATAGCTAGTAGAGTTTAATTGTAAAAGAAGAGTTCAACGTTTTGCCAGTATCTTGGGTTTGAAGCTTCGCTGAATATACAGCAAATTCCAATCACTTGCCCTCAAAATCATCTAGTGGACAAGTCAGAATTTTAACGTTTAAGAGATGGCTTTCTTGTAGGTCTAGTTTGGTTAAAGCCTAGGAAGGTGAAAACATGGACTTGTCTTACATTTCTGAAATCCCAGGGAAATATAAATTCTACATCTGAAAAATGTGAAAACAAGAAAAAGATGAAAAGAAATGTAAATGCCCAGCATTAACACATTTATAACCAGTTTTAATGG